CCAATATCATAATAGCTCCTATACGTCATACTTCAAATAATTATTTAACAGAATAAAAATATTTCTATAGATTAGATCCAAAGTGCAAGCTTCGTGCGGTCGTCCGGCTATGACAGTGCGATTTTTCATCTGGAAGGGCAGACAGAGAGTGGAGCGAGTATGAGAGGAGCGATAAACAGCTCTGGTCTTTTTCGAAGAACATTCCCCTGGAACAACGCAATTGTGAGGATCTAGCACCTAAGCTAACGCATGAACGGAGAATGAGGCTAGTGTAATTTGGCTCCGCAAACGGTGCGCGCTTAATTCATGTATCTCTTTGCATTTATTTCCTACCCATATGGCCTTTATTTGTAAGTTCCTATACTTTTTAAATAACACCTCACACATGCTCTTTGCAATAATGGCTACATGGATGTACCTGTAGAGGCTGCGCAATTGCTGCATTTGTTGTTGCCACGTGCCGTTTTAAGTATCTGCTGTTAAGGCGGTCATTTAAGTTACCGGCCGGCCCTTCGCTTTCGCCTCTGGGGTATACTAAGGGGATTTGTGAGGTAGTTTCTAGGTTTGTCCCATTTTCAGAGCAGTAATTTGGACATATGTATGTGTGGTGCCCATCGCTCTGTGCTCAGTGAGGATTTGCAGCAGTGTTCCCCAAGTTCGATCTTATTTTTAAATTCGACCCTAAAACCAAGATTTTTCATTATTCGTACTTCACTATTCCAGGTTGCGTGGATCGAACCTTATTAACTATTTTGCATGATAGAAAATCGACGTTAACTTCCATGATTCCAGCCAACTAATGGATCTGGCTTCTCGTATCTTTCCTGGATTCCCTCAAATTCTACAAAATAGGAGTCATTGGATTCCTGATAGTCATTGTCAGGAATGTTTTGAGTGCGGTCAAAAGTTTACAACTCTTAAAAGGCGGCACCACTGCAGGTTTTGTGGTCGGATATTTTGCTCGCGTTGCAGTGCTCATGTATGGTTGTTTTTGTGCCTGTCTTACAGCTGCTTAGGTCCGTGACGGCTCTAGCATTGGATTTTCCGGACCGCAACGTGCTTGTGGATTTTGTGTGGCGAATCATGAAATGCTCACCAAGAACCTCAACAAGTCGGAAGACAATGTTTCATCTGCGGAAAAGCAACTGCAAATCGACCCATCAATCCCTCTAGATGCCCAAAATTCTCTTTTTGACTCACAAGAGCAGCTATTTCCTTCAATCCGCCCAGAGGCCGACAATTCGCGAGATTTAACCCCTTCTGAAAGTGGTTTTCAAACCTGGCACGCACATTGCAGCTATCAACATCCTCAGATTGCCAACCTCTTCCCCGTGGTCGACGACAGTCTATCTACTCCTCGCAAACCAGCTAGTTCGATCTCTGTTGATGGTCGTCAATCGTTGCCTGATATTCAAACCTTTTTCGCTATTTGGTTCAAAATGACATGCCCAACATCCTTCGAACAAACAAATGGAAAAGTCAGATCATCAGGCCTCTCGTTCTTTTCCAAGAACGTGGCACTCCCGCGACGATCTTCTAGTGGTGATATTCGGGGTCCTCGGCCTTCATCTTTGTTGCCTTACCAAAACTCAATTGCTCTGGAAACTGTCAATGTTGGGTCGGAACGGTGTTCATCTGGACGTCAAATTGTTGATTGGCTTGTCTCGAGCTCAGGCGGTAGACTTGAGTCACGGTGTGTTTATGCATTTCATGTTTGATTCGCTGCTGCTTCGGTCACCTTATGGTGCTTTTCTTTAGCAAAAAGGCTCTTGCTCTTTGTGAGGCTTACATGAAAGCTTCCTTTCTTAAACCCTTGGACAACAAAGGTCCTTTGGAGAAGTTTGTCGATGGTTCACAGCTCTATCGAATATTGAACGAGGTAAAGTTCATTGTCTCTGCATTGGCTTACGGGATTACCGTTTCCCTGTGCAGCACATGATATCATTGGCCGTAAATTTGGAAATAAATAATGTACCTACTTAGTGCCCTGCATATTCTGTTTAAAACCAGATAATTTTACGCTAGTTTTCATTGACTCCCTGTGAGCGATTCTTTGATTAGCATGCATTTTGACTATTTCCTCATTGTTCATTTAAGTGCCGTGTCCACAATTAAATGCGTAGATATGAGAGGGTGAAATGAATTTGCGTTTGGGAAATTTCTCTGATCTTTTTAACACGATTTAAGGTGGATGATAGCCCACATTTGTCTAGGCGGGCTGAGTCGGTTAGTAGTGGTTTCGACGCGCTTGGGCAACGCTTTCGACGTGGCACCTTGGTGACAGAGTCAATTGGGCTGTCAAAGATCAAGGAAGTCTCTCATGAGGAGTCTACGACTTCACCCCCTGTAGTAATGGGTGTACCCTTACCTGAGAGCTTGGGTCAGGTGGACATTGATAGTAATGTACAACCGCTTCGAATAGATTCGACCGCTTCCCAGAAGATTCTTGTTGAGTCGAGGTAAGTTTTATTGTGTTCAAGAATGCAGTTGATATTAACAAATCTAATGCCTATTTTGCCGCAGGGACGTCTATATGCATTACTTGGAGAGGTTAATCAAACAGGAAACGCGAGATCACTATTTGTCGGCAGATTGGAACTCGCTCATATTTTCAACTGTCGGTATCTTATGTGATGACTTAAAGCTAAATCTACGAAGAGTTCTACTAAAAAATGTACAAAGTCGTCGCATTGGCTCACTATCCTTCAATCCTGGTCAACAGTGTTCCCTGATTGACAATGTGATGCTGCAGGAATTCTGCCCCTCAAAGTACTCTCCCATGAATGTCCTCAGATATGTCCATATTAAAAAGGCAAGTTTTCATGCTCTCCCCACTTCCCCCTTGTTATTTTTGGGATTCGAAATTACCGGACTATTTACAAGGCAACTACTGATGCCTCATTGTCCGTTTTCACTTGCCTGTAATTATTCGAATGTGTGCATAATTACACTTCCGTTTTAACTATTCAAATCGCCTGTCAATCTTGCATTTCTTTCACCAAGGTTGTTGATGTGGACGAATCATGCCAAATTTTAAACGGCATTGCCTTAACCAGTCATTTGATACATAGCCATCTGCCAACACAGCTTTACTGTCCAAGAATCCTCATTCTAGCTTCACCAGTTACATATGAAAGAAATATTTACAAACGGACGTGGCTTGAATCTTATGCCGCTCAAGTAAGCAGTGATTGTGATCTTAATGTTTTGTCTTTAGGAAGAGGAGTATTTGGGAAACTGTGTTACCAAAATCCTTTCCTTCCGACCAACTGTCCTCATTACGGGAGGTGGAGTGGCAAACATTGCGTTAAATATGCTTGTCAAATCGGGAATCGCTATTTTTTGCAATGTGAAAAGGGTAAACAAATGGGGACTGCAAGACAATGGCGCCCTTATCTTGCACTAACTTTTATGCACTTTTTACAGCCAGTAATGGCTCGCTTAGCCGCTGCGACAGGCGCCGAGATTGTGGCGTCGACTGATGCCTTTCTGAGTGGTTCATATGACATCTCTCCAAAGCATCCTACATCTCCCGTCGGCATGTGTAAATGGTACAAATTAGTGACTTTGCCCCAATCCAATGGTGAGTTATGTTCAGCACATTGCACTCATTGTTGGCATGGGATATTGGTAGATTGTTTTCATCTCCTACAGGCACCAGGAAATCTGTTTGTATATTTAGTTTCACTGATCTACCCAGATTGGATGGTACATCGCTTGTGAGTTGGTTCCAGGTTCCCGGACTAAACCTAGTGCGCAATGTTACTGAAGCAGAGGATAGGAAGGAGGGATCTGAGGGTAGCAGCATCTGTATGCCTGCCTACACCGTCTTCTTGCGAGGTTCAGACTTGGCCACCTTGAAATTAGTAAAGCGGTGCTTCAAATTAGCGCTTTTGAGCTGTTTTAATGCCCGTTTGGAGGCGGCTTATTTGGACGACGCGCATATCGTGCTTACTGATGATCCGTCTACCACCACGGTACGCCTTTGTTCTTCTCCGTAAGGGAATTGTCGTTGCTATTAGGATCCAAAATTGGTACTTTCTTAGTTTTCACTGATCTTTAACTATATTTTGCATAAACTGGATTTGCTTAGACTCGTCTAATCTGAATGTTTGAATGCCTTTCAGACTTTGGACAACTGTAGATCAGACGAATCGTTTTCCTCCTCCCTAGCGTGTCATCTCAGTGGCCGCCTATTTAATCTCTCGCCCCTAGCTACAACCAAATTGCCTTTCTTGGCAAGTGCCGAGGGCCGTTGCACCCCTCTCTTCGACTTCTACTTCTATCTTGTCGATTGGTCGGATAGGAGGCGGTTGAATGACTCGTTGAAGCAGAAGGCGGTTGTGATGCGGGCGAAGATTTATGCTGAACGAAAACCACCCTCGAAGTTTACGCTATCTCGTTGGGAATCACCGCCACCTTCATTCATACCAGACCGTATTTCTTCTAAAGGAGAGGAAGAGCCAAAGATTTTGCGCAGGTGGACGGGAATGGGCGGAATCATTGCAGCAAATGCGAGTCGATCTAAAAAAGCAACTAAAATTCCTCTTCCTTCGAGACCGGTTGTTAAGGTGGGTTAAATTTTGTAAAATCTCCTTTTTATCTTCCAATTCCGGGATCTCCCAAATCGTATAATAGATTTGATTGTGTCACCATTTCACTTAAAACGCGAGAAAGCTTTGATTTCCTTCCACTTAACCATGATTGCAATTTTAACTTATTTCGTTAACGCGTAGAGCATTCGGATTATCTGTTGAAAGATTTTGCTGGGTGAAGAAAGTAGGACGCTTTATCTTAGAAGTAAACGAGTCTGTTGGAAGGGGAAAAAATGGAACAATAGAATCCTGAGTGGCTTAAATTGGAAAAGTTCATGTCTTGGATGCTTGCATGGTGATTGAACATTTATTGTTAGGTGACTTGAGTACTACTCCTTATGTGGTGTTCGCGGTTTATAAAGACAGGATAAGCCTTAGATGGTAATTATACTGATCCATTTTTTTACTCTGTGCTGTTGATATCTAGCATGTGAACAAGCGTCTTCGTCGGAGCATTCGCGACGCCCGATCCCACACTCTAATGCACGTTCTCCGCAGTGTCTTCTCTCTCACCTCTGCTATTTGTCCTGATCCCTGCCTCCCCTCCTGGATCATGGGCATCGACGTCTATGGAAGCAATGATTTGCCACTTGGGGCCTTTCTTGAGCACTTTTGCTTCAGGTAGATAGGCTTGAGCATGCAATTCAGCTTATGCTACACCCGTTTATGCATCCATTTACCTTGTTCTCAGCTCCTTTTCCTGGGTCTCTAGAGTATCCTCATAAATGGCTACTTTTTATGACGGTAAGATTTACAATTCATTCAAGTAATACAGTAATCTTCATCTAATCCAAGTATAGCTGTCTTGTGGACCGATGTTAAAACTGATTGTAGCAAATAAGTGCGAAAAAGTTGTCATCTGGGCTTTGGAGACGTGGTAGTGACACGTCAGGAACCACTTTCAGTAGCTTAACGTAAACAATAGAACACGTGATATCCATTAATTTTTTAGGGGAAAGAAGTAATCGCAAATGCCTCCATGCGACTAGACCCTATCAACATATTGCACTTTTCTGGTAGTCTGCTGACTGACTCACATTTGAAAAAGCTTTACACTCTTGTTTTCTCTGAGCGAGCAGTTGTTTAAAAGGCTGTTCTCAAATAGTCTATTCGTTAGTGCTATCTGGAAAAATTATCGTACCACATGCTTGCTTTGCGTTTGGTTGTGTGTGTTTGATTGTATTGAGTTGGACTAGAGAACTGGAGTGAGTACCCCTTGTAGACCCCCTAATGCTATTTTCCAGTATCCTTGTCGTTGAGGCCAACCAGAGCAGAAGGCACACAAGCCTCTCCACCCATCCGATGGCACTGTAATCTTGATGTGTGGCATACGAATCATAAAACCAAAAATGCTTACTCTTCTACATCAATAACTTTATGTTTAACTGGTGTAGGAAGCAGAGCTGCTTAAATCCGGAGTGTAATACTCCGATGCTGGATCATGTGCAGCATTTCACCCAAACCGCTGGTTCGGTGAAACTTACTCTGCGGGCAATTGAACCGGTTCATTTGGCACATTCTACCAGCTCACCGACGTCAATTGTGATGTGGTCCTACTGCTCGGTCTGCAAACAAATGTCACGGGCACGATTTATGTCTCTGCTGACCTGGCACTTCTCCTTCATGAAATTCATAGATTTCCTCATCAATTCGCCACATTGTCTAACTCACAAGTCTCCAAACAGCACGTCTGCTTGCTGTTCAGCTAAGAGTTTGAGCCATTGTTTTAGCTCTAATGGCGTACAGGCCACTTTCTGGTAAGCTTGTAGCATTAAATTTGCTTTACTAGTTGCTTAACTTCTCTCTTCTAACATCTGAGTGCCTTTACACACTGGTGGTGTAGAAATTTTGATATTTTTTAAACACTTTCCTCTAGTTATCATCCAATAGTGATCTTTGAGGTCTGTATGCCCCCAATCACGTTGAGGACGTCCTCGGCGTCAGCTTTGACGACTCCTCACGAAAGGAGAAATATTAATCAACAGGATTCCAAGTTTGTAAAAAAGTCCGATGTGATAGGACCAATCAGAATGCCCGACTTCCTCGAAATTGAAGTTCATGCAACCCTGAAAAAGTGAGTTTGGCATTGCGTTTGTGTATTCAACTCTGGTTCCCCTCCTTTAAGGTATTACGAGCTTACCATGATGGTGAAACAGCATTTGATGAATCTGTGGAATGATAGACAGTGCGAAATTCTGACGCATTTGCTAGAAGCCTTTGAACAGACTTTGAATGTAAGCACTTGGACAACTGTCATCCTGATGCTTTTTTGCTATCACAAGCACATTCACTCCAGTTTATTTTCACTGCTAAACCTCTTAGTCGGAATGCACCGAGACGGGAATCAAATCACGCGTGGAAGTTCTCTCCTTCCTCTTCGACAATCTCGCGAAACCACGTCTTCCCTCTTCGCATTTCAGAGAAGCACAAATCCCACCTAATAGTTCCATTCCATCCACCGACAGTAGTGTAGTTGAGGATTTGGACACTGATTGTACCATCTCCTCTAGCACCGGATGCCAACCGATGTGGATGACAAGGCTTGCTGCATTTTCATATGGTTCAATTGCATTTCTTTCTTGCTGATATTACCAAATAACCTTGTGAGTGAATGTTGACTATCCCTTGTAGAGGAGAAAATGACGTTGACTTTTGCTCTGATGTACCTTATAAAGCGGTGGCTCTTCAATTTTGCCAGTGACTGGAATGCTCGGTGAGTTGATTTCTTGGTGATTGGCTGCTTCTCCGTCTGTTTCCATCATTTTGATCTGGTTTATTTATCGGCAGCATCTCGCAGTACAATTCCACATTGAGGATGTTGGAGAAGGCTCAGAGCAAGCAACGCAAGCACCATCCTCCCCAAACCTCCGTCGACATGTCCATTGATGTGGGAGGTGCAAGATCCGAAGTTTCCGAGATCCCTCCAGAGGCGTCTCCTTCGTCCTCAAATGTGGATATCGCGCTAGACAATACTGGTGAGTTAGCCATGGCACTTTTTCTCTCTTTCTCTCTCTTCGAAGTGCCTTCCTACCTTGTAATCGCTTTGATGCAGAAACAACGGATAATGTTAGCACTTTGCGCAAAGATGTTGGAGAAGTCTCCTCCATGACAAACAATACTGCCTACACATTGCTTGATTTCTTACCGGAAAACAAAGCCTTAGTGACTAAGGTGGAGACTGTGAAAAGGATCTTCACGGCCATACTGCCAGGCAGCAGTGAGCACAAGGTCTGCCCCGAGCCTTGGACCCCCAGCGAGCACCCTCAAATCCTTCCACCGAATTGTCACACTCCTCTGCTTCTCGCGTTGGCTCTCCAATCACCGGCTCAGTGTGTAGAGGGCGGATATTTTGAGACACCGGACTCCACACCGAGGCTGTGTGCCAATGAGAAGTTGGTTGAGGAATTATCGCATATTTCTGTCCTCGAGGCTACACCGGATGTGTACATTTGTGACCAGGAGATCACCTCTATCGTCGCCTATGCGCTTGCGTGAGTTAAAGTGGTCATCTTACCACTCAAGCTACTGTAACCGTCATGCATTTTTTTTTGTCTGGCAAAACTCCGAATGAAAAATACTCACTAAATAATGCGCTATTGTGTTTACAGATCCTCGGAACTCCATGTTACTGACACAAAGGAAGGGCGACATGCAACCGGCCCTACAAATTCTGCTTCACTTTTGAAGAGTAAATAATTTTTTTTGTCTCTATTCACTGTATTGAGTAAGTTACAAACAAATGGGCTTTTGTATGGCGTATAATTCCGTCTGTAGCTTTAGACTGCCACATAGTGATAGGCAGCATGGT